AACTATAAAATTTACACTCTCTTATGGAATTGCAGAAAATGTATTCAAAATTTACTTAATTATTGTGATTCTTGGTTTAATAAATTCTATTCAGTATATTTTTATCCACCAGTATTTTTAAACTATTCGCAGTCTTATATAATTCACCACTTTTTTCATATATGTCATGCTGAACCTTTCAAAACTAGCAAACTCAGTCTAATATTTGCAATTTTAGATTGTAGTTGATTACAGTTTGGCCAGACGGGCAAGCCATGTAAAATTAGAGTGGCGTTATCTATTTTGGTTATAAATCACTAAATAAAAGTAAACCAGGAAAATGACAGATTTTCTTGTGACAAGCGAATTATTGACAGAAAAAATTATTTTAAACGAAGTTTGTGTAAATAATATCCTCTGCGTATATACCAGAAATGCTTACAACGGTTGAGATAACAAAAAAATTAGATATTGAAAAGTTTATGCGAAGTTTTGAAACTAGTTATTATTGGAAATATTGTTTGTCACATACCAGAAACATGACATTTTGAAATTCAATTAAATTTTATAACTATACAAAACAGTCGATGCTAGTACAAGGTCATTTTAAAATGCTACCAGCAATGCTATTTATTAAAATTTATAAAAAAAAGTTCTTTTAGTTGTATAGTATTAGATCTCAGAGCAAGAGACTGTAAGTTGTCGTATTTCGTGAGAATCATCCACATATCTATTGTGAATTCATTTTCTAGGGTTGGCAGATTTCTATTGTTAATGATGAGTATATTTCTATAAAGATTCCAGTCTGTTTTAAATTTTGGCTTTTCAGAATGTTTGATGGTCAGCCCGACGAGCAGGCAGGTGATCAGATTACAGATGGTTTAGGATGCAGGCGACCATGAGGACTTGTATGTTGGTTATGGCAAAATCTAGGATGTCAGATCTGTGATTTAGTAAATTTGGTATATATGTAGAGGAAGTAGGAACTGTGACTGTAAGTTGATATTTTGAGATGATTGTTTGGAGTAGAGTTCCTGTATAGTTAGAACTGTTGTAGCCCCATGTTGTGTGCTTGGCATTAAAGTCGCATGCTACTATTGTTGACAGATTGGCTGGAAATAAGAGTTTTAGATCTTCTTCTGTTAGTTTATTTCTTGGTGAATTAAATGCCTGTAATTTTGATATTCTGATTTTGATGGTTTAGAAGAATTGATATTTGTTCATAGCCTCTGTCAACTTTGGAGTTGTATTCTGTAGTGGTTATACTGCTTTTGGATAATAGTGCTACGCCGCCTCCTCTGTACCGTCTATCACATTTGTATGTTCTGTAGTTAGCTATTGTAAAATTTAAGGTTGGTTTCAGGTGAATTTCTGTTATTATTGGGATATCTGGATTGTGTGTGTGTTCTAAAATAAAGTTTTTTAATTCATGCTGTTTTTCTATTATTCCATTTGCATTCCAGAAGTAAATATTGAGTGAAGGTTTTAGTTCTGTTTTAATATTCATCTTCTTCTATTGCTTGTTGATTTGAGTAAACTGCATTTTGTATTTTTTTAAACATATTAAATCCCTCGTTGTCCTGTATAAATCTAACAAAGAGCTTTAAGTCTGCTAGTAGAGATCTTGCTTCTTTCATAGTTGCTGTGTCTAGTTGTAGGGTGTTGCTGCTCTTTTGATTTGAAGATTTTAGAATTTCTGCATATGAGACGGAGTTTGTGCTGCCAGGAGCATTTCTATAATTTAGGTGGCTGGGTTTATTGTTGTTGGTAGTTCGGGTGGCTGGACACTTTGGGCGCTGTTTGAAATTGGCTGGGTGTGGTCCTCCACAGTTAGCACATGCTGCAGGTGATTCTTTGGTTTTCTTGCATAGGTTGGTCAAGTGCTCTTGGCCACATTTTAACCATTTTGGCGTGTGCCAACAGGATGCCTGCACATGATTAAATTGCTGACATCTGTGGCACTGTGTGTATCCATGGCGCCCTCTGTAGCTAGATACAAAGACAACGAGGTTCATAAATCTTGCGAAGTAGAAAATGTCTTTGTTATTTTCAGTTTTGTCAAAAGTTATAATATGCAGCGGAAGATTTATTGTGCCTTGCTCAATTTATTTTTTCATTTGTGTGACATTTCTAGGTGTAAATCCATATTTGATTAGATTTTGATGTACTTCGTCTGCTGTTATGTCTGGCGGAATGTTTTGATGACTACTCTTAGTGGTTTTTCTTCGTCCAGTTGAAAGGTGTGGTATTTAACTTTTAATTTATCTAATATATCTATTACTCGACGCCTCATATCTATTTCAAAAAGGTGCAGTTTGAGATAATCGCCTGTATACTTTCCTTCAAATGTTGTAATTTTTAGTTCTTGTAATGTCTGTTTTAGATGTGTCCATTTTACATTGCTATCTTTTATTACTATGGGTGGAATGCTTTGTTTGCTTCTTCTTTGGTACTGAAAATCATCATTTTCGTTCATTTCTTCTTCCTCGCTGAAGTCATTTTGTCGGTTTGAAGTGTTTCTCACAAGTCCGTTGCTTGTGGGCGTTTCCTCACTTTGACGCTCCTGTGGGTATTTTCTTTTCTTAATTCGTCATTTTCAGCTTAGAGTTTATCGATACTTCGTTGTAATGTGGTCATCTTAGTTTCAAATAATGTTTTGATGTCATTTAATTGCTAAGATAGCGATTTATTGAGTTCGGTTTGTTGTTGCAGTTGTTGTTTTAATAAATCCATGGTGTCCATTACCCGGCTGGGAACGGCACTTTCACTGATTTTGATAGTATTGGATATTATAATGTTATTGTATTCACAGAGATTGAATCATGAAGTTTATGAAATACAGTTTATCTGCACTTACTTGAAACAAATGCAGCTACTGCTGCTCGAAAATTATATCCGGTAATGTAGAAAATAAAATTGCGGTTCAGCATACACTTTATGCTGACGAAAAAATAAAATAGTCTTAGTGCAGCTCGCACTATGAAGGTGTATTTAGGGAAATAGTTTAGCTGAATTACATGTCTATATATCACTGTTGTAGCACAAATAAATCAGTTTAAATAATAGTTCACGGAGATATATTTACAGTTTCAATTGTTTGTAAACGTGACATAAACACACGTCATCTACACTCAAATCAAATAGTCAATAAATTATCAGTGAATATCAAAATAGGGATTCAACTTACGTCGATTTGGATGCATCTTCCTTCATAATTTCGGCTTCATAAACCACATTCGTAAAATCAATTTCAATCCGAGATCAAACACAGTGAATCGGCAGCTATCAATTCCAACTCGCACGAGTTTCACATCATAAATATCCGTTTCCGACACTCTGATCAACAAAATCAATCTGCATGACCCATAACTTCAAAATCGTAATGACCGACAAAGAGATGCGGGGCTGCCAACAACTAAGCTTTTTCCAAAATATTTTATTGAATGGTGGACAATCAAAAACTAAAGTCTACATAATTTTTGGTATTTTTTCTAAAATTTTAAGAGATTCACTAAGAGAGTTTGAATAAAGTGGTTTCAAATCATTTACAAGTAGTGATGTGAAAAATACCTTTTAATCAACTTTATAAAAGAAGGAATAATACATTAAAGCATAAACTTAGCTACCACTAGAAGAAATTTTTCCAAAAAGAGTAGAAAGTTGGTAGACCTGTACATGTTGCCAAATATAAACATCCTATGGTTTGAATAATTTTTTCATTTAGAAGAAAATATATATGGAAGCAAGAAAAGAAATTCTTGGGAAATAATTTTAAAAAAGCTCGCAAGTGGCCCTAGAAAGATCGGGAGTAATATTCCGATGGAAGTCGAGTAATATTCCGATGGAAGTCAAATGTAATCATCATTTTTCAGCAGCTCTTAGCTACCACTATCGTGGGAACAATAGGTAAGTGATTGAGTGTGATGAGCAATCCTCACCGATTAGTGTCATTAATCAAAGAATTACAGGAATTGCTCAAAAATGAAGAAGTGTTACGTCTTCTGCGGGATATCATCGGGGAAACATCTCAATCACAGTGAGTTCTATTTTTATTTCCAAGACTCTCAAGTTAAATTCACTGAACTTTTCACAGTAGACTTTTACTTATGTTAAATTAAATTACATCAAATTTTATTTTCTGAAAATATAGCCAATTAATGCATATGTATTTATCAACTTATGCACGTTAAATTCTTTTGCAAATTCTATTGTATTTAAGGAACAATATTTCTCTAATAAAATATATTTACTGCATTTTCTCCAAATATGTTATTTTATCATGAATCAAGGTATAATTTATCTATATTCATCAATTATGTTCTTCATTTTTCAAAAATCAATTATTGTACATATCAAATCATGTTATATCTTTATTTTAAATTAAAGTCTACAATCAATATTTCTNTTCATAATGTAATAACATTTGTGTAATAAGCAAAGAGCTTGAAACATTCATAAAAGCAACTCCATTGCCTGCTTACCTCATTGCTCAACCAAAACTGTTCTAAAATTCCAGATGAATGGGATAGCGGCAGCTTCGCGGCCCAGGTGCCCAATTAAATCAAAACACTGGGACTAGTGATGAGCTATCCAGAAACGTTATCAGGAGGACACTATGGATCATCACAGACAAGGTCATCGCCGGACTATCTGTCGCTTATAACTATTACTTTGTCGCTGACATTTTTTTTTTCAATCTCGTGTAAACAGTTGCATATATTTTCTCTATTTTATTACACCTGGGTAAATGTTAATATTATTCCGACCCCTGTAAACATTATATACATTCTTATCTAGTTTAATCTCAATTATGTTTGATTTTCCCATTGATTTCATCATATGTTCAACCGATTGGTTTTCCACTCATGATTTTTAGTTAAATTTTTTTACTCACCCCATTTTGCTTTTTTAGTCGCCTTTGGCAACCTTGCTTAAGCCTAAGATTTTCATGGCCATATTTTTAAATTCTGTGAGAAACCTGATTTTGAGTTTTATTCGGTCAAACTTTATTTTTGTTTTAGTCCATGTCTCGCTTTCTTTCTATTGACTGCGGCCTCTGGATGTCCTTTCTTTTTATTGAAAGAAAAACCTCTGGATCAATGTACAAAGAAAAGATTGGAAGAAATTCCAACAAAAGAAGATAAAGGTAAGTTTAAATTATATTAACTTCTTTCTTATCGATGGTGGTAGACGAAAAGAGAAGTTACTTTTCACAAATAAACAGCAAAAGCTGCATATTTACTAACTTAAATTAAGAGATTATTTTCCACCCTTTTCTGAACAGTAAATTGAAAGGAAAGGTAGGTAAAATTCGTCTGTAATTGCAAGATTATTTAAAAACTTTTGCTGTTTTGACAAGAAAAAATAAACTTTTTTTGTTACTTCTGTTTGTTTTATTTATATTGGAATGATTTCTTTTAAAAATAAATAAACGAAACCGTTATCAATCCACAATTAAGAGTCATGTGAATTGCTTACAAGTTATTATTTTAAAGAACCGTGCTGACTTAGATAATTGACATGTTAGATTTTGTTTCAGGATGTGTTGTTCGTCACATATTTTTAGTAATTGAAATAAATTTTTCATTGGTTAATTTATATTATCCTTAATTTTTTTAGTAATATCTTTTATTCCTTAATATAGAATAATGCATATAAATTGCGTAATGTAATGTAATATGCTGCAGGTTTGGCACGGGTGACTGAAAATAAAAATAAGGTAACTAAAAAAAAATCAAAATTTCATTAGAAAAGATTAATTTTTGCAACTTTTTATAGCACACTTTTTTTTCCAATTTACTGTAGAAAGTGAATGAACTTGTTATGCTAGCTGGTCACCTATCCCATCCATCGAGAATTATTTAGCGTTTAGGGAGTTCTTTGTGGTCAGCTGGCAGTGTGGTAGCTAGAAGGGTAGAAAGGGAATAGAACTTGAACTTGAACTATAGTAGGGAACAAAGTACCTGTCCGCGAAGCGGACAATTGACTTTTTCATCTAAGGTAGTGCCCGAAGGCGCCTGTAATAATGTCGATAGAGTTCGATAAAAAATCGAGTCCTTGTTGGGGGTTGGCATAAGTTGGAGTAGAAGATCATCATTCTGAAGGGGAAGATCCCTTGATAAGAGTTTGAAGTAAACCTAGCACTTCTTGATTTTTTAGGATCTCCTGCAGTTCCTTGATGATTGTAACAAGTCGATGAGCTGAGGTAGCAGGTGTATCCTTAGTCTGAAGACTTTTTCTTCTGGGACGGGCCTCGCACCCAGAGAAATTTGAAGTATGGCTTCCCTCGCAGTTGCAGCATTTGGCGGGGGAACTTCTATCTTTCTTGCATTGATATGAGAAGTGCATTTCTGCGCATTTCATACATCTTGGCTGATTGGAGCAAAAACGCTGTGTAGGGCCGAAGCCTTGGCATCTGAAACATTTTTTCGGCCGGAGGCCGCCACGAAATCTCTCTGCACTGATGGTAAACTGTTGAATACTTTTCGTTGCGAAGATCTTGTCCTGATCTGCCATTGGTGCGATGACGAGAAAAAGGGGGAGGAGCCTATAGGTCCCTCCCACCCTCTTCTTGAACTGTATAATTTTGTGAATTTTTAAGTCCAATTTTCCAAATTCTTGGAAAATGATATCTGTATCAAAATCATCTGGTAGTCCTCGGATGAGTATTTTGGTATGGTTGGTAGTCAGAGCTTTTTCTGTTTCATTGGAAGTCTCTTTGTCTTTTTTGGGAGTCTCGTCCGTGGAAGCAGATGTAGAAGTAGGCTTAGTCTCCGGCTGAGAAGAGGGCTCTGAAGGAGAAGAGCAGCTTAGTGCCGTAGAAGTAGGGCTTGGAGTGGTATTAGCAGCATTAGTGGACTTCTTCTTCTTTTTTCTCTTCTTTGTCGGTGGTTCTTGGGAGTTACTGGCAGCATTCTCCGATTCAGAGGCCGAAGCCTCTTCATTCGGCTCTTGATTCTTTTCAGTCTCCATAGGAGGGGTAAAAGTCTCAGTAGCTTGTTCTATTTGTTCTATTTCTTCCGATCCCGAAATCGAATTCTCCTCGGGGGGACTCGGCTGTACTGTCTCTGGGATTGGGTTTCCTGAGTAATATGACCTAGTTGCTCCTTCGGGAACCTGGAAATCGTCCAGAATTAGGATATATCCTTTCTTGTCCAGCTGAATAAACGTTCCGTAGCAGTCTTCGTATATATTTCCTGGTTTTAGATTGGGACGTTTGTAGTCTGTGTAGATAGCCGGTCTAGAATAAGCTGTCGGTGGTGGAGCGCTAGACGTAGTCTTGCCTCCCCAGCCGGAACGATAATTAGAGCCGCCGCGTGAGGAATAACCAACACGTGAAGGTACAAATCCAGTAGCATAACCTAATCTTGATGACATGATTCAATCGCACAGAGCTGGTCTCAACACAACCGCACTCTGCAAAGGCTGGAGTCGAAAATGTGTCAGGGTGGAAAAGGGAATAGAGTGTTTTTACTTTGAATATGAATAATTTTAAGTCATAGTGGTAGTTACGATTGAATAACTAAAGAGTTAACAATTAAATAAAAATGAATTGAGTTTCTACCACTTTTAACATTTTTTGTCGTCTGTGGCATCCCTGCACTGTAAAAAATGGATACTCAAGTGTCAGAAACTTTCTTCGTTTTTCACGAAACCGTTTCTTAGCATATGCATCGAGCAAAAGTTATAAAATAACTACCGTCACTTTTTCGAGGAAACGAATCTCGTCAAAATTAAATAAACATTTCGTCATTCTATTTTCTCCGTCAAAAAAAAAGTAAACTCGTGGTGCTTAATGCATCTAACTTTCCTAATAATCACTTTAATTTGGACATCCTATAGATGGCACAACACAACAATTTCGTGGTTCTAGTTATCAATCTCCCACAATATGCTACGATGAGGTTTCGAGTAGAGGAAACACTTTCGTTCTATGTTAGTGATCGCGTTTCGTCTCAGATCACGTGATTTCGAGACAAAATGATTTTCAAAATTAACGGAATACTGCTCAAGGATTGCTAAATCGTCAAAATTGAGAGCTTTTAATTCCTGAGAGTGTATCGGACTAAAAATTTCATTTTGTCATGAGTGTTTTCCTTGCAGGAGAATGCAAAAGCCATTTTTGCTAAAACAGAATTTCACCGAGTAAAAGCAAATCATTCTTAAAAGTTCGAGTTTTCTCTGGATGTTAACTAATTAATTGCGATGTATACGTACTCGAGGAAGCGGCTCAAAATATATAGTGTTTTCAACATAGTTTTTAATAATTAATCAAACCATTGCATTATCTTTATATCTATTTCAAATTTAAGAAAATATTGCATACATAAGAGCGTTGCAACATTACACGTATTTAATGGGTATTCTTTAGAAGATTGCCTGATAAACTTTTTAGTAATAGAACTGATTGTTTTAGATTTCAAGACGTTAGGTCCACGCCAGTTTTCAAAAAACTTCCAAGGGATTGTGGAACAAAACTTGGAGCCATATGTATTTCTACAACTACGATTGGAAGATATTGCTGAGAAATCTGGCTTGTATGGTTTGAAATAATATGGAAACATTTCTATACTTTGTAGTGTGCTGCTTTTCGGAGAACTCCTCCAGACATCGCCTGGTGACGGGTACTATGGATACGAGCGTAAATCACTCGCTGAATAGTTTCGTCTTGTTCCTGGTAAAAATAGGCGTAAGAATCCTTGCTTTGCAGCATATCAACTCTTTCATTCCTATCATGCATCCCCATTCGAAATGTGCTCTGTCTTGTTACCATAGCAGCCCAAAACTTTTAGTCTAGAGGGGTTCTCCTCAAAGCCGAACAGTATAGTTTGTCCATAGAAAGAACTCCTCTATCCACAAAGTCTGTTCTCCTTCTATCGCTGACCCAAAATTCTTACTTGAAATAGCTAAATACCACTGCTCCAGAAAAATGACAAACATAGATGTTAATCATTTTTTTAAATTATGTAAACGGAGAAAAGTACTTTATTTTAAAGAATTGTGCATGAAGTTTTTAGAATGATATCTTACTATGTATAAAAATCTAATGATGGTGACGCTGTTTTCCATTGTTAAATACATTTTAATTGGCTGAAATAATCACATGGTAGGATCCAGTTTTCCCACATTAATATTCATATTGGTTTGGTTGTCATCAGCATAAAATTGATATAAATCATAAAGTTATTGTTTTCCTATAAGTGTTTTTGTTTCCCTCATTTAAAGGTTAAAATTATCTGCACTGTTAATATTGCATTTTTGATTTGTTTGATTTCTAAATGAAGAGTTTAGGAGGATTGTTTTTTTTTAATTATTAGGGCGATTCTTTCGTTACGTGTGTTACTTTTACACGACATATTTCAACTTTAACACTTATTATATAAAACTTGTTAGATATTTTTTATGTTTTTCTTAATTTGTTGTTAAATCTATATGTGTTGTAAGTTTTCAAAACGAAGATTGAAGGCGCAAATTAATTTGATGTTGAAAAAAAAAATTTCTGAAATTTTGTTACGTGTGTTACCCTTTATAATGCTAGATATTTGAAACTTTGAATATATTCATTTAATTCTGTGAAGTATAAAGGCAAAAAATTAAGATATTTTCTTTTATAGAGAGATACAATATCGAAGCTGTGTTTAGTGATTTTTAAAAATTTCTTGCAACAGTAAAAACTTCTTTATTTTGGTGAAATTGGTGCGTTACGTGTGTTAACTGAACGTTACGTGTGTTACCCTCTGTGAATATTTCAACTGAGAAGTCATAAATGTTGCACTAAAACATTTATTTATTTTAATTTAGCAGAAGAAAAACAATTTATTTTAGCAAATAAAATAGTTAATGGTCTGGAAAGATGGTTGTAGCCCTTCTTTATACTGGTTTAGAGAGTAAAACATAGCAAATCTTAGGCACATCTATTCCTTCAAAATCATTTCTGTTTGGAAACAAAAATATGCATATTTTCCAATTATTTTATGCAAATATTGCATTTTAAGTTTACAAGCATGTGCATTTGCGTCAATAATGTTCCCGAGATAGAGCATATGTCGTTTTAATTTCAGTTATAGGCGCACTTCTGATCAGGAGGGAACAGAAATTGACTTACTGACTATTTGTGTGCCACAATGTGCATCTATGCATCTTATTCAAGTATCTAACGATACTTATGCATAGATTTTATGCTTTGTATTACCGTTGCCATGTATTGATCTTTTCAATTAATATCTTTATTTCCTTTTGGCTAATATATAATACTGTTGTATTAGGCATGAGTTGATTGGTTAGCTTTGCAAACAACACTGGATAGCAAATAAATTTTTTTGTATAACAACACAATGATATAAATAACTTTGCTTTTTGCTTCGCTTTCAAGATTTNATAAATAATTAAAGTGTATAAGTACCTCTAACACACATAACAGTAACGCGCGTAACTTTTCGTTACGTGTGTTACCTTGAATAAAATTAATTATAAAATTTTAACTATTGGCAGTTTTAATTCGAGAATTTTTTCCGTTGCATATCTTGCCTTCTTAATTTATAAAACAAAAAATTTTTAAATTTTCTTTTTTACTAAAGTTTTTACAGAAAAAAATGCAAAATTATGTTACGTGTGTTACTGGGAAATTAGACTATCTTGATTAATCGACTTTCAAACAAGCAAAAAAATTTAGGCCAAATTAAAAAAATACATTAAACAATGATAAAAGAGTAAAATAGTTATATTTATTACTAAAAACTATTTTATTGCTCTTTAATATTTTAAGAACTCCATTGGAATATAACATAACAAAGAAGAGAACTCCTGTTAAAATTCATAGTGTTCCACCTTTTGTTAGAATTCACATAAATATTTTTTGTAATTCAAAAAACTATCTTAACTATTAAAAAATGTACATCTTCTAGATTCCGAAATTGTGTCATTTTTGATTTTACGATAATTTTGAAACTTTAGTCACTCAGGACCACTTTTCGTGGAATCGCCCATTATTATTATTATTAGAATAATGAAATTCCACACCACAAGAACCAGTTTCAGCTTACATAAAAGACTAAAAACTTACATCTAGGGAAAAGTAAAGAGTGATAGATTGTTTATAGTTAAATATAGGGAAAGGTTTCACTTTACTTTTAAAAAATTCTGGAATTAAATGGTTTTACTTCCAGTTTCTCATGTTTTTTCGATAAACAAACAGCTCTGATGCATCTAATGCGGGGATGCCATAGGCGGCTAAAAGTGTAAAAAGTGTGGCTGTTAAAAAATGAAAATGCATTAAAATCAACAACCTTATCAATCATTGTTTATAAAGTTTGCTATTGAAAGTGAGTGTAAAGAAAGTTTTCGCTTTAAATGTGAATAATTTGAAATGAAAGTAATAGTAGTAGTAATAATTAAATAGATTAAATAAAATTTTAAAAAATTGAGTTTATACCACTTTTTACATTTTATGTCGCATGTGACATCCCTGCTATTGCCATTGTTAATAAGTAGTTGTAGCTACGAAAAGCTAATTTCATTCCCTGAAAATGTATAAAGGAAATGTTTATACCGCCAATATTTAATCTTTTGGGGGGAAATAGTAATCCTGATGCACTCGTATATAACCCTCCACGGAGAGAGAAGGCTTCCGCACGGGTTACCATAAACGAGAAATCCGACACTTTAATAGTCCAAACGTAGTGATATCTTTCGTATTTTCCTCTACTGTGCAGTTTAGTATCCCGAATGTTGTGACATCTTATTATTTTTCCCCATTGCACAGTTTATGTTCATTTCGTCGGATTACTAAATTGATCAGTACGGAGGCTTTCTGTCTTCTAGAGGTGTTGATATAACACGGCAGATAAAGAATTGAAAAGCACATATTTGAATTATTTATACACAGAGCTGCCAATATTGTACGCTTTTGGGGAAAATTTCTTTTTATGCTAACTAAGTTTATGTTATTCTTTGAATTATTCCTTGTTTTGCAAATTTGATTTAAAAGACTTTTAAACACTAATACAAATAAATGATTTAAAAGCTCTAATTATACGCTACTTTGTTTTAGCTTTCTCTTAGTGAGTCTTTTAATTTGTTGACTATAAAATTCTGAGGTCTCTAGTTTTTAATTTTCTACCTCTCCATTAAGTATTTTGCAAAAAGCGAAGTCGTTACCAGCCAAGTCTCGACAGACAGAATAATTTAAAATCAATTTATCAAACAATTACGAATAAAATGTTAAAACATAAAACTTTCTTTTTCCAGATATAACGTCTCACAGAACGAAACAGACGAAATTCTTAAAAAACTTAATGAATCTCGAGAAGTGCAAGATTTGTTGCTGAAATGCAATGAATTCCATACTGTTCCAGAATGTAACAGCAGCAGCACCAAATACAGAGCTATAGATGGTTCTTGCAACAATCTGAAATATCCACTCTGGGGCAGTGTTCATTCAACTACTGATAGATATGTTGCTGCTTCTTATAATGGTAAATATATGATGGTTGTTTTGCTTTTTTTCTTAATTTATGTTTCTTATTATTCACTCACGAGAGGTTACCGGGAGCGTTCACTTTTTCGTAGGTGGGGAAAATGAATATGAGCGTTTTTTTAGGCGAATTTCAAACTGACATACCTTTTGGTTTACACACTTTTTAATGGAACTAACCTGCATTTGCGTTACATGGAGAGAAAATACACAAAAACCTTCCACGGTTAGTTTAATGGCGAGAACACTCAACCCACTGTTTGTTTACCTCTAAGGATTTTTTACGTTAGCTCTGTGATCGGTGCAAGTCGGGTGTGGAATTTCTATCCACCAACCATCGCTAGAACTCGAACCCGTGTCAACTCGCTCGAGTGCTCTATCCCTTGAGCCACCATAACCGTAAAAAGAAATGATAACTGTTCACCTTTCCTGAATTTTTTTAATTTTTCGCCATTTTTTTAAACATATTTTCCTATTTATTCCAAATTTTAATATCATTTTTTGCCCCCAAATTCCTCCTTTTAAAAAAAACAGTTGGGCCTGGATAGCCTGGTCGGTAGAGCTCTGGGCCCATGTCCGAGAGTTCGCTGCTGCAAACCGCCCCGGCCGAAGACTCTCCGTGTTGTAAATGGTGACGGATGCACGTTAAATCTGTCGAGTCGCAAAGTCCTCCATGTCCCCATAACAAATCAATACCTCTGGAGCTACTGGATTGGAGATCGATCGTTCTTTGATTCAGGTCTAAATTACGATCTGTGGATGAATGAATGAATATATGAATGGGTCCGCCTTATAAAACGGGTGTCACGTATGGGTGTGGCAGAAGTCGAATTCTTGGCCATAGATGGCGCCACTGGAAAACAAGAACAATCGCACCCCTCTGCCTAAACATTCATACGAAAGAAGAAGAAGTAAAAAAAACAGCTACAATTTTGGTGAAAAGCGGATGAAGATGACCAGGTCAAGAAGCCTTCTCGTACCTTTCAGACTTTCTTGTGAGAGTTTCAGGACATATTCATGGAACGAGGATTATTTTATTTCTTCTGAGGTGCTACAAAGCAGATAAAATGTTATATGCAAAACATAAAACATGCATGTTTTAAGCAAATAAAAAATATTCATTCACTCCATCATCCATTTAGGGCATATGAAAACATTAGAAGCGTCATGGTGGCAGAAACAACACCAGACTAGAGTCCAAGAAATAGTCGACTCAATGAGCAAGCGCCAAATACAGAAGGCAGAACAATAGAGCATCAGGCCCGCTCGCCTTTAGGCTACCAGACAAACAATCGAACAAAGAAGATTTGCCTCATAAAATGGTTTTAAAAAAATTATTTAAATTATGAACTTTTTTTGCCCCTTTCGCAATTATTTGACTGATTTACCATATATTCTAGATCTTAGTTCCTCTTTTCCTCACCGAGTTACCCCCGAACACTATAAAAATATGTAACCCTAATTTCTGCTATAAATGAGCGAGAATAATCATAAGAAATTGTGCAATATCAACTGACTATCAATAGATTTCTTCTCACTCTAAGACTTTTCTTAGAAGATGTTAAACAACTAAAACAATCTTTTCCTAACTTAAAAATTAAATTCATGGCCATTAAATTATTAAAAAGTGACAAACATGAGAAAGGAGTGTTAGTAGAAAATAGCGAGTAAAAAAAACTAAGGGATCATATTCGAATTCAGAAGATCATTTAACATAAATATCAGCAAAAACAATGCCGCAACTTTATTTTTTCATGCAGCTCAGTGTGAAAAAAAATATGTGTATTTTCGGCTGAGAATAATGAATCTGTAATTATTATTGGGAAATATTGGCAATAAAAGCTATATCTACTTTTCCTCTCAGCTCTAGTTGCATTAGATGCATTAAGAAGAAAGATATCCCAGAATTCAAAATGAAACTTGGCGACTTATATCCGACAAAAACACTATATGATGGACTGTTTCGGTTTGGACGTATGAATCAAGCTTCTTTTCTTTGTACAGAATCACATAGTTTCATTTAAAAAAGGACAAAAGAAACGTTCAAATTCATTGAACGGTGTAATTGGCCATTCATCTTTACTTCTATAATTGTCAATTTTATTATTATTATATTTTTTATTATTATAGTTGTTATAATTGTTATTATTAAGAATATATTTAATACAGGTGTGAGTGGATTTCGAAAATCAGTTTCCGGAGAAGATTTGCCAAATGCACGAAACATTAGCATAAATATGGAAAACAAGAATGTTCCCTCCAATCAAGTATCCGCATTTTTTTCTTATTATGGTCAATTCTTGGTCCATGATCTTACCCTTGCTCCAGCTATAGCTCGTAAGTGTACTCAATATATTCATGTTATATAGTCAAGGCAGCATAAAAAAAACATATATTAATTTAAAAGCGGAACATCCTGAATAGCTTTTGATCCAATAATTGTTTTCTTTGCTTACTAAGAAACAGTCTTAGTAACTGAAGAAGTAACATTTTAAATATGCAAATCGTAAAAATACGGAAAGGGGATCAATATGAATCGAAGTAAGCAGCGTTCTCTTTCATTCATCTCTATCGTCACGCCGTAGTTATTATATTCTCATAGGAACCAAAACCAAATATGCAATACTAAGTCATAAGTTAAACTTATTTCGTTGCCACTACTCCAAAACCACGTATCTGCAAATTAGGCAATTTCTGTTGAGGAGACATTTATTTTATTAATATTTATCATCTCTCGGTGAAATGCCAAAAACAAAAATGGTAATCTAACCTAAACAGTTTGTATGCTTTATTTCATGTGTAGTACGGCATAATGAACGGAAAACCTTCAAATGTTTTATGACTTAAGTTACTTTCTGTAACATTAACTGAACCCTTATATATATTATTTTACTTGTTCCTCTGATTCAAGTGCCGTAAATGCAATCACCGCGGTGCGGGGAGGGGGGGGAGACGCGAAGTTTGAGGGCACCCGTTCCAGAAATAATACACAATTAAGGGTGCACAACCTGAGGCTCACGGTAGTCCCTGAATATATATATAT